CTAAGTGAAACAAAAAGCACAGGATCTGGAATCAGGACACCTGGGCTCAAATCTAAATAAATCCATCCTTTTTTTTTTTTTAAAGACTTTATTTGTCAGAGAGAGAGAGAGAGAGAGCAAGAGCGCACAAGGAGGGAGAACAGCAGGCAGAGACAGAAGATGCTCCCTGTTGAGCAAGGAGCCTGATGCGGGACTCGATCCCAGGACCCTGGTATCATGACCTGAGCTGAAGGCAGACACTTAACCAACTGAGCCACCCAGCTGTCCAAAATCCTTTTTTAAGAGATTCAGTTTTTTCTCTAGTAAAATGGAGGCCATTCATGTATTACCTTGTTGTTGAGGATTACATAAGATGAGGTTTGTAAGAGCACTTTGAACTTGTGAAGCAATATAAAGTCTCCGTTTCTACAGAGGCTCAACTTGAAAAGGAGAGACCCAAGTGGCAATGAGGCACAAGGCAGTTTCTGGAGCATCTTGGGTAGACTTGAGCATTCTCAGAAAGCCAGGGAAGGAGCGAGAGGAATCAGGAAAACTGGGTAGAGTCTTGGAGACAATCATCAAATTCCAACTAATAAATTTTATTTTAGTGATCTCTTCTCAACAGAATATAAAAGATCAATAAGGAACCAAAGTCTCTCTGGTTCCCTACTCAATGTCCAGAGCATGGTGCACAAGTACATAGTAGGTATTCAATAAAAACTTGCTGAATGGATTAGGAAGGTAAGTCATAAGGAAAATTTAGTGAGCCAATGAACCAAATACATTTTGTTAGGGCATGTGGCTCTGCCTCACAGCGGGCTCCAAATGTGGTTCTCTAAGAGGAAATGTCCACACCACATACAGAATGATGGGGTGACACAGGCATAGGCCTTGGTAATTTTAGTTCGTATGCTAGAGTTTCATTTTGGACTTTAATTATTAAATGTCAAACTCCTCAAATTCACAAGCAAAACAAGCATAAATTTATGAGTTCTTGATCTAACTTTGAAGAGGTCTTTAAACTTAATTCCATTGATTTAAAAAAATATCAGGGATGTTGGGTCTCACTTGTAAATGTGGACAATTTACGGTAAGATGTTTTAAAATAATGTGCAAGTTTTCTGTCAGACTTTAATCTTGTATGTACCTCGCATATTCATAGCTCCTAGAGAAAGGGTCAGTAGTGCCATTTGTATCATTTCACAGCAGCCATTCTAGACTTCTCCTAACTTGGATGTTTCAGGCTCCTGTGCTTAAAAAGCTCTAGGAGGCAAGGCTCCCTTCCAACCACGTCCTCCCCGGTCCTCCCCCTGAAGCAGTTTGGCTGGAAGTTGCCTCTATCTTTCCAAACATTTCAGAAACATTTAATATCATTTTAACTCCCAACATTGGGTGAGTGCTACCTCTTTTTACACTCCTACAAGTCGGTTGTACGTTTATACTGGAGTATTTATTATTTATTTCAGTGGGTTAAAGCCTCTGCCTTCAGTTCAGGTCATGATCTTGGGGTCCTGGATCGAGTCCCACGTCGGGCTCTCTGGTCAGCGGGGAGCCTGCTTCCCCCTTTCTGCCTGCCTCTCTGCCTACTTGTGATCTGTCAAATAAATAAAATCTTAAAAAAAAAAAAGAACATGCAGTAGGTTAAATAAACTGTTTTGGTGCCCAGTGTGAAGTAAATCAGGAATACAAAATCTCCAGATAAGAATGATCGATTCATGAAGTTTACTTCCAGTTCATGAATCTGAACCTTTTATTTCTCCTCTTGACGCTGCAAAGGATACTCGCGTCCTGTATTTTGTATGTTCCTAGAGTTCTGTTTGTTTTTATTGACCACATTTCATTGCCAAGTTATTTTTAAAGCAATACAAAGCACATTTTCCCATTTGGATACTGGACATTGATCCTGTGCTCTGAAGTCACGAAGATGGACACTCTCTGAAACATCTCTTAAGCAGTTTTGCAAAATGATCACTAGCATGGCCTCTTGGCCCTTGATCCGTATTTATGGATTATCAAATAACTCATCTAACTACGTTGGCCCTTTAACGACCTTGAGTATTGCTTGTACTGAGAACAGAAATCTTAATAGCATAGAGATGCATGGGAGGTCCCCCATATTCCAAATAAACAAGCTTCCTAGGCTACTTTTTCATCATTTTTCTCTTTATAGCTTCTATAGCTTCACTTTGCCAAACAGAATAGCACCCATCAGCAGAAGCCAGAAAACATCCTTTTCTCCTCTCCTCTTTCTGTTACTACGGTATCAAATACTAGCAGAAAATAAATGACAGTAGGCACAGGTGATCGACTTGGGGGAAAATGTCTTAAATATACAAAGCTCGCAATTCTGTTTTACATTTACATTTTGTAACTTAAAATGTTTATATTTCCTAATAGTCCTATCTGGAAACAGTATTTTGTAATTTACCTTGGTTTTTCCTCAAGCTTAATTCAGCCAAATATTAATGCTATCTATCCTCGTCCTCTTTTGAAATTAAAGTGAAAGTAAAAATGCTATCTGTGGTAGAACAAATCAAGGTCCTCATAATCACAGTATGCCAGCGTTAGGTGGAAAGTCCTAGATGTAAAGTTTGTTTTGTGTTTATTACATTTCCTTGATTAGGGTTGGGAATCTGAGATACATCAATTCAACTTTCCTATTTTGCAAATGAGTGAACTATAGTTCAGAGTAGTAGAATTATAGTTGGAACCCATGTTCTTTGGCTCCTACAAAGATGTTCTTCTAATGATAACCGAGATTGGTAGACTGTGCAGTAATGCAAAAATAGGACAAAAGATTTCCAAAGACAGTTTCAAGCACTTCATATTAATGTTAGAATCTGACATGAAGCTGTGGATCAGGGCTATGAATCACGCCCAATGCAAGAGTTTAAAAGCAGGCTTTGACATATTTTATATTGGTATAAAATAAGGAATTTTCATCTTCCAAATATTGTCCAAATGTCACATCCAAATGTCTAAAATTGATATTAACTTTCAATAATGGCACTTATGTGGAAAAAAGAATTATGACTAAGCAAAGAACTTCCAGTTTTTTTATTTTTTAAACATTTAACAAGAAAAACATTCAACCAAATTTTTAAAAATTAGGATGGATTAATTTACAATAAAATAGTCAACTTAAAATATCAGCCCTTTTTATTTAGGGCCGAGGAGGCCAATAATTCCTGTTTAAATAGCAGAATTGCACAACTGGTATTTTTACCTATACTCGATGGCACAGAAATATGAAAGTCATACAATTTCCATTGAGATCCTCCATTCCCTCCAGAGTAGAATTCATACAGTTGCTTCTTAGGTCAGTTCTTGGGCCTTTAAGAATCACCAGTTACATTCTGAAACATATCTACAACTACTCTGATAATGAGAACACTTTTAAAACAATTCTTACAGGAAAAAACCTTAAAAATTTTGTGGCACATTGGACTGCTTAAAGAAACAGCAAAGATGAAAAATAATGTACAAGAATTATAGTCCCCTGCTTATAGAAACCACCTAAATAAAATATTTTCCCTAATTATCCTCACTTCTTATAATTTATTAGCAGAGATGAATTACAAGAAGCAGAATGCACCATTTTTTGGTTCTTGGTTGTAGCTGCCAGCTTGAGAGTTCATGACTGTAAATGTAAAGCAATGATTATGCTCACAAATTCTGGAATGGGAAAAAAACAAAATAACTCTTTAAAAGTGTTTCTCTATCCTTGCTTTCAATTCAAGTCAGACAAAAAATTCACAGCAGTTTAAAGGATGATGAAAGACTAAACATGGGCCAACTAAAATACATACTGAGGATAATTTTACCTATTACACTAAAGTGAAAACTGTAATAAGTAAGATATTATATTACCAAGTAACATTCTAGAGTATGCTGCTGGAGCGAATACAGCACTTAACAGTTTCATTTACAGATTAGGCATGGTAGCCTTTAGACAGAACATTTTCACACTCTTGAAGGTGCAACCTTTAAAACACAAACACACATAAAGTAGTATGTAATTCATAACAGCTGGCCAGGCACTTAACTAGGGGAAAGAGACTTTCAGACTTTGAGGTAAACTAGAACTGTTTTTAGCAATTACAAACATATTCTAAAAACCACACTTTACTTCACACCAACTGAAGTTATTCAGCATTTAACCCTAAGTTTGTCACTCTATTGGGCCAAAATTCACACCTACATGTAACTTCTTAAGAAGCTATTAAAAGAACATTTTGAAATCTGAATTTTGGCCCCATTTCGATACATCTGTGCTTAGAACATACTTGAAAAAACTATAAGGTACATCCATATAAGGGCTAAAATGAGTATCTTCTCCCCTAAATTTGATATTAAAAAAAAAAAAAAGAGTCTTGCTGTGAGTCACACAGAGCAGAGCAGAGGACGAGGAGGAAGAGGTGGAAGACAATGACAAGGATGGAGGCGACAAGCCTCAATCCAGCCTTGAGAAAATTACACAGCAGTGTTCCCCAAGGAGCAGAAACACAGCAGCAGTTTCTGTTTACAGATGTTGACAGTATGTGAAAGGTCTCAAAATTAACGCAAAGGAACACAACTCTCTGGGTTTATTCCACTCTGGGCACAGTTGATGTTTCTTCCCATCTTTGGAATTCATTTCAAGGTAATGTGGAGTTTACTTAAAGGAAAATGCATTTTAGAAGATGGAGGACCTCAGTAAGTATTTACACATCTAAGACCAGAACAGAAAGTGGCCATTTTGGAACTAGTCATTTATCAGAAGTTATCGAGTCTATTTTTCATTAGAATTACCATGAAATTACCTGCAAATGGAAAACCCCTACCTCCAAATCCTCATAACGAACAATTCATTCTATTTTCAATTCCCTTCTCAAACGACGATTTCAACAGAAAGGCGACTTCTTGTTCTGAACGAACTCATCAGCTTTTATATCTGGTATGCACAGACTAATTCATTAACATACTGTTTTGCATCCTTCAAAGAACACTATCAATAGAGAAAACTTTTAAAAATTTTGATCTGAGGCATCCTCATTCTCAAAATAATGAAAAAAAAAAAAGGGTTTAATTCAGACTTTCCACATGGCGAAAAAAGGTCTAAATATTTTATTTATAAAAACCTCTAGGCTGACCATCCACAAGATGGCAAATTTTTCCAGCCATGGTGAAGGATTTGTGCTAACTGACCTCTTCCTTCCTTGCAGGACTAACAGTATGCATCTGGCAAAACTACTAGCTGAAGTTACTGGTGCAATGAGCAAACATGGAAGAATTTCTCTCTCTGTGATGCTAAGTGGCTTGCTCAAGTTTGGAAACTGTGACCCTGGTCTGTCAGCAACATGCTTTACTCAATTGAAATAACCATGCTGCCATTGTGGTGGGATGAGGGAGAGGGGGTAGTGAGAAGGGGAATGAGGGCAATTATATACATCATTAAAATACCATGACATAAAGTGAAAATGTCTGTTAATACATCTGAGGCTTGAAAATCATTAATCATAGCTATTAAAACTGCATTAAACTATTACAATTTAGAACACCTGCAAATGTGGAGCTTTCAGATATGACCTAAATTTAAATATGAATGGAAGTTCATTATCAGTAAGCTGGAAGAAACAAATTGCATACATTTTGTAAGTGGTAACCAACCCCCTGCCCCGGCCCCCCCCAAAAGTAGAAATTAGGTAAAAATTAAGTGAAATTATTTATAATTGTTTCCAGTTTCACCTTTCTCTTGGAAGAGACCCAAATCAGGTCTCTGGAAATCCAAGCTCATACACGTAAGAAATGGCATCTGCTATCACATTGGTAGGTCTTTCCCTCAAAGATAGGTCATAGAAGTATCTCAGACATTCATTTCCATGTATAACGATTTTTGAGACATCTATCCACTGAAATATTATAAAGCAAGTCTACAAACCACTCCTAAGAAAAAAGGCACTTTGCTGCAAGAGTTAAGATTTAATTATGTGAAAGTCGAGAACACTAGGATAGACTCAAAAGTCAGTATTCACTTGCCTATTTCTGAATGCAAAGCAGATGCCAAGTTATAGACTATAGCCAATGACATCACAAACCAAATAGCAACTTAACTATATTCTCAGCAAAACAGTAATTTATGACATTTCTCCAAAAACCAACATAGTTCCAAGTTCAACAGTAAGAAGGAAAAAAAAAAAAAAAGTCACCAGCAGTTGCTACTTTAGAGCTCAAGACATTGTTTTCTACAGAATTTCATGTCTACAGTTTGGTTCTCTGTTTCAGAGCATGAATTACTTTTCAGATGAAAAACCTGGGATGGCGGAGGTTTGTTTATGTTGGGGGAGAACCCAGGGTGGAAAACAGTGGGGAGTAACAAGAGGTTCATTTCTCTGGTCAGACAACCAAGTGAGGAGGTAGTTATTCAGAGAACTTCTCCAATAGAGAATATTGTACTGATCTACTGAGAGTTGGGGAAGTAACAGGAGCTTCTCTGTGAGACTGAAGATAGCAACAGGAATACTTCTCCTCCAGGGAAGTCAGGACCAGGGTGTCAGTGCAGCTAAAATAAAGACAGAATCTGTGTAAGTGACATATAAAGAAAGTAAGAAAAACAAGCTTAAGAAATTAACACGAACGATAACATACTCGTTTCCAAACTTGTCCTACCTTGACAGTGGCTCTTTTCTGATGCTAGAACTTTAAAAGTATCTATAAGAAAAGCAGACACACCAGGTCATTATAATCAGGTTTCATGTAGTGGTTCTTCAAATTCCTAATCAGTGCCAAGAATATGGTACAGTGTCTACTTTTCATAATAATGCCTTCTAGTTTTTAAAATTATTGAAAGTATAATAATGTCTATAAAATTACTTAAATGCTTTATTATTTTTTTAAAAGATTTTATTTATTTATTTGTCAGGGAGAGAGAGAGAACATACACAAGCAGGGGGAGCAGCAGGTAGAGGGAGAAGCAGGCTTCCCGCTGAGCAGGGAGCCCGATGTGGGACTTGATCCCAGGACCTGGGATCATGACCTGAGTTGAAGGCAGACACTTAACCAACTGAGCCACCTAGGTGTAGCCTACTTAAATGCTTTAAAAACAGTTTAGACTTCAGTACTCTCAGAAAAGGTGTCATAAGGAAAATGTTTTATAACTGTAAGTGAGCAGAAACTCTCTGTTAAATAGCACCATAGGAAAAAAATAATAGCAATCTCCTCCAAATTTCCCGATGCTAAATTAATAAAATTGATTATTATGTCAGGAGACCACATGCTCACCTTGTTACATCACCACACAAGGTAACCCCATACAACCTTGAGTCCCATCATCACTGCTATTGAGTTTCTTCATTCGGTACTGACGTATTTCTCTTACCAGTGTGTAAAAGGCATCTTCGACACCCTATAAAAGAACATGGTAAGGATGGCTTAATAGACACAATCCAAGTTGTAAGCTCTCTCATTTGTACTTCTTTAGTGGATTTAAAAGTCCAATTAGCTGATGAAATAGGGTGATTTAGGAAGAGGACAGCAAACTTAGTGTTCTTACCAAATCACATCAACAGCCTGATATACAAATGGCAAGTATTTTGCAAAAATAACATTCAAGCACAGGAAAATGGGTAATGTGGGACATACAGAACTACCGGATCTAAAGATTCCATTCAGGAGAGCAAAAGCCCTAAACCGTGGCTGGTGTTGACGGAGAAAGGTCTAATGTTTGTACTTATCTTTAATCAAGGGTCCTCATTTTAGTAATGTTAAGTAATATTAGCATGTTAAGGTGGGAGTAAAATACCACACCAGAATATTCATCAGTTCATTCTGGGTTAAACTGAGGATTAAAAAAACAGAATACTAAAAATTAACAACAAAGAACGTGGCTCCTATCTCTAGCAGTCAAACTTTTCTGCATTCAACAAATGCTTGCCAGATGCTCAAAGCTTTGCTATACCTGTCTGGTCTTGGCTGAGGTTTCAATGAATGGAATCCCATAACTCTTGGCCAGTTCGTGGGCTTGTTTTGTGTCCACTGTCCTTGTTGGCAAATCACACTTATTTCCTACTAGCACCATAGGTACATCATCTGAATCTTTTACTCGCTTAATCTGCTCCCTTAAAAAAAAAAAAAAAAAAAAAAAAAAAGAATATGTTATCCTAACCTAATGGTAGGTTTTTAGGAAGGAATGAGCAGCTAGAACAACAAAGGTTCTAATGAATTTTATCTAGCCCTATTAGCTTCTAGTATGGAGTTTTACTTTTTACTCCCTCCGCCTCCACTAATTATAAAAGACCAAGCATACTACGTTGACTGGTTTAGACTTGATGTAGCGAGAGAGAAGCCAAATACTGGTTCACCTTCTAGTGGAAATGGATGGCAATTCTACCTTTTGACACATACCCTTGTTAGGCCCCTTCATTTTCCAAAGAACTTGGCTCTGGATTTAACTGGCAACTTGAAATCACACTCTAGATTAAGATCTGAAGTATATAAAGTAAAGCTTACTGTCTCAAAATAACTTTCTGAGGTTTTCTTCAAAGTAACAGTATTTAATGAAAGACAGTCTATCCACTTCTCTAGTTGGGTAGTATTCAGACATTTTCTTCAAACAATATTAGCTGGAAGTCCAAGATACAAAATAGAAAACACCAGAACTCTCTTACTAAAAGGGGACTGAAGGATCTGCAACTCCCAACTTACAGCACTCCCTTCAATGACAAAGAAGACATAGCACACAGCAGTCTGGAAACAACTGCTCTAGATTCTCCTGACCCATACTATCTAACAGAACTTCTCACGATGATGGGAAGGTTCTCTATCTATGCTGTCCAACTACATCCACCAGTCACATGTAGCTGTTGGACACCTGAGGTTGCGATGTGGCCAAGGAACTGATTTTTCAATTTCTTTAACTTTAATTAAATGAAATAAGCACATAAGGTTGTGGCCACCATACAGCACGGTACCGCTCCAGATCCTAGCCCTGGATTACAGACATGGTCATGTGCTGAACTGGCGTCACACTGGCGAGCTCTAAAACTGACCTTTCCTGTAATGGCAGTGTTTAAAGCATAATATAAGTCAAGACAGTCAAAGAGGAAAAATGACTTCTAGAAATTCAACAAATATTAGATGCTTGACAAGTGTTGGAAATCTTACTACATACTGCTATTACTTCCAGAGACCGGATGGAAAGTAGAACAGGTTTAAGTGGAAGAAAACCCCACTGAAGTCAGTTTTGGGCTAGCCTGTTTCTCTGAGCAGACATCATATGGATCGAGCACAAGCCAGCACTGCAGGCCACAGGAAGAACACTTGCATAGAATTGACTATGTGCTTCACGCTTTTCTGGGTGATTAACATGTTTATTACTTGTTTAATTTTTAAAACAACTCTTGGTAGGTACTATTCTCTCCATACTATTGATAAGGAAACTGAGGCACAGACATTTGGTAGTTTGCCCCAAAGTCCCATGGGTAATAGATGACGGAGCCAAGTTTCTACCTGTTATATTACTCTGCTCAAAGAATACGGAGCTAAGAGAAAGGAGTCCTGGGTTTTGGTCCTAGCTCTGCTACTAGTAACAACCATGACTCCAAAAACCTAACAAACCACTTCCTGCAACTCTACTTCTGATTCCGTAAAACAAGGATGTTGTACTAGAATTGTTTATGGTCTGATTGATCTTTGAAATGGTTTTACTGAGAAAGACCATCTTTCCTCTTTATTTACTTCCCACTCATTTCTTCCTATCATCTTCTCTATTCCATGACTGAGGACTCTCAGACATGTTTTCCTTTCTGAAATTCCTGTCTGATCTTCATACCACCACCTCTGGTTCCGAATCATCCAATTAGCAATTGGATAATCCAATAATCCAAATAATCCGAATAATCCAATTAGCACTTCATTTAAGTGTTATCACACATTCTAGCCATGGTGTATTATATAAAATAAACTCCAATATTAACTTTCAGTTATAACCCAGAACCTCAATGTTAGACAAACTGAAACCAACTCTTCTCATAATTAAAAAACGCTATCTTACCTAGTGTGGTATCCTCATTCCCCCACCCCCACCCCACAAAGCTTCAGAATACACTTACAGATCATCCTTTCAGAAAAAATAATGTTCCTAGTACCTGTAGAGGTTAATATCTGCAAATGATTTGCTATTATTGATGGCAAATACACAGAGGAAGCCTTCGCCTGTCCTCATGTATTGGTCTCTCATGGCACTGTACTCCTCTTGACCAGCTGTATCCAGTATGTCCAACAGACAGGTTTCACCATCTATAACCACCTGTTTTCGGTAAGAATCCTGGGGGTGTGGAGGGTGGGAGACGGCAGGGAGAGAGGAAGATTTCATTTTTATTAGAAACCATAGGGAACGCAATTCTATTGCCAAGGTAAGATAAGCTCCCACCTAAGTTTATTTCCATCTCTCTGGTTTATCCCTCAAACTCCTCATATATAATCACAATCAGAAAGTACTTAATGTCACCCTAGGAAAAAAAGCCCCAAATCCTATATGCCTGTAAAAAAAAAAAATGTGGTCATTTTGTTCCTGGAAAAGATGGAAAAGCGTGGTAATTCAAAAGACAGCTCTATTGCAGTTAGACTAGAGATTCGGTTTCACAGTGTTTCATTAAGGTACGAAGTGGACTTTTCTTACTTATTTACTGTATATTCAAAGTTCTAATATACCTCCACCAATTATACCTGGCCCTAGACACGGTGTCATTTGTGTTTATGACTAAACACATAAATACTTTTTATTTCAGACAAGATTATAACATAAAAATATTTTTCTCATCATGGTGAATTTTTACCTTTGGGAAATATTCCTGAATCAAGTTCCTAAATGTGCCAAACAAGATTTACAGCTATATTTCCTAAGAAGGAAAAACATGCATAGATCACATATATTTACATTTTAAAAGTTCTCAATTTGGTTCTGAGGCCAAAATTTTACTTGTATCTTAATACTTATGTTTTGGGAATTCAGTTCAAAGAAAATAACCCATCACTCTTGGTAAAGATCTGGCTCCAGAAACAGAATGTGACCTAGTTTCCCAGTTCATTGATCAGTGCCTCTGTAACGCATCTTCACTGTGGGACTGTAATGTACTTTGAAATTAACACAGTATTTGCATTGACAAAACTTGCTCAAAGCATGAAATATGGCTAAGTGTACGTATGCCGAAGAAATGAGCACAATTTAAGATAGGTTTTAGTCAAACTAATTTACAGTAACAGAAGTCAGAGAAGTGGTTATTTCCTGGCAGGGTGGGGGTTTATTGACTGGAAAGTGGCATGGGAGAACTCTCTGGGGCACTGGAAACTGTCTATATTCCTGAGTGGTGCTTATGTAAGTATATACAAATTTTTAAGTCACTGTGTGTATTTTACCATTTGTGTATTTTACTGTATGTACATTCCCCTTCAATAAGTAAAACCTAGAAAAATATAAAAAGGTTCTAACTATTAACACTAAAGCTTAAATGAGCACTTACACTTAAAATGAAATTTCTTTCAAAGACTGAAGACTGATTTTTAATAATGGCTATGTTAGTTAGCTTCCATTAAACATTAAGTGGCTGGGGGTTAGGAAGACCAGGGTGTGGGTTAAAATAAAATAATCTCTAATCAGACATTTCTAAACTAAATAAGCAAAACCTTTTACTTAAAGGAACTTAGATGCCATTATTCAAGTCAATCTATAACATAAACTCACACAAAAAACAAACTGATTTTACTGAACACCTCTGTGTGTGACAGGTAGGACATGTTTATGGTAATTTAGTAGATGAGAAAATGAGGCTCAGAGAGTTTAAGTGATTTGCTCAATATAACGTAACTAAATAAACTGCAAACAGGGACCAAAAGAAATCTAGGCAGTGACTCAAAATCTCTTACTCTTTCTACTCCAGCCCAGTCTCAGCTGCTTCAGCCAGCTTACTAAAATTGAAGAATTTTAGTTAGTGAAGGATCACCTGATCCTTGAAACTTTTATCTCCATCCTATTATTCCTACGGCCTGTGTTTAATAGAGCTGTCATGAGTTCAACAATGAGTATAGGAGTTTACTAAACTATTACATTATCAGGTTTTTTTTAAGAAAATCTTCAGCAGCTATGAAGAACTCTTGAACTCCTGAACTCTTCTCCACAAACATGGAAAGCTTCCTTATTGTATTACTGAACGCACTCCAAATAACTTTTACTTTCTCTCTTGATCATTCCTTTAGCTAAGGAACAGCTAAAGGTGGGTGTGCGGGTGAACCAAAAGTCAGAGGTAGGGTCAGCGCACTACCACTGGGCCTCACCTCTATGGTGGGATCATATTCATCTACAAAGTGGTTCTGGATTAGCTGGATTGTCAGTGCGCTTTTCCCGACACCACCTGCTCCAACCACCACCAGTTTGTACTCAGTCATTTCACACCAGCAAGAACCTGTGGGAAAGCAGCAATTAGGTTTAATGGGCGAGCCACAACTACAGTACGTCAAAGCCTTCCATAATCAATACTAACTAAAGCCCGAGTTTGAAATCTATCGGTTCCAGACACGTGACCCTCCACTTGGTTCTCAAAGTGATTCAGGAGTGCAAAAACAGTCGCAGGTTACTGCAGGCCTCAGAATTCCGGGGAGTCGCCGAGCTACCCCCACCTAGCTCTATTTTTCAAGTCCGCGGGCCCCGCCCTCAGCCTAAGGTAAAGGAATACCCTCTTCCTACTCCTCCCGCACGTCTTCTCAGCTACGGCGGGGCAGCCTCCAGACCGTCCCCTAGTCTTATACCCCCGCCAGTCTCCAAAGATCTCCCCCGGAGGGCTCAAAACTAAGGACCCCCGCCCAAGGGCCTTTGTCTCCAGCCTGCAGACTCCGTTCGATTCCTGGCAACAACGAGGCGCCTGTATGCTCCAAAGACGAGCGCTACACACCACACAACCTTACCTCAAGCTTCGTTGCCTCCGCTTCCGACGGATTTAGGACCACAACTGGGAAAAATGTTGGAGACCCCGGAACCGCCATGAACAGCCCCCACTAGGGAGCGGCACTTCCGGCCCCGCCCGCTACGTAATCAGACGGCGCCCCGGGCGCCAGAGTCCCCGCCCCGGCCACGTGGGCCACCGACCCAGGAGTCACGCGGCTGGCCGCACCCAGACCCGCCCCTCCCACACAGGACGTTTCAAAAATGAAAGCGCTAGGTGCTAGTCTCAAAAATCAGTAAAACTTTATTCGCTTCCATTCTTTCGCCATTAACAGAAAACTGGAGAAAGCAAAAATGTTTTGTGTTTACAAAGATAAACGGCCTCTTTACCCAGAGAAGATCAAAACCTCAAACGACAACGGGGAAGATAAAAGCGCCCTCCCCCACATCCCCTGAGCTGCCCTTGTCATCTTAGACAAAGCCTTCAGTCCACTGGCCAGGAACCCTGGATGTGGCCAATTCAAGATGAGGGCCAAGAAATCAAATCAATCCGTTCCCGTGATATAAAGTCGAACAGAAGCTACACCAGGGGTCAAGTGCCTGTATTTCACAGGACACAGGAACCAGGCGGCTACTTATAAAAAAAACAAGATTCATTTCAGGCACAACTTTTTTATTTTTTTTTTGTTTTGTTTTTAAATCAGTAAAAGAAACTGGGTCCTAGAAGCTGCAGTGATCTAAGCAGCAGCAAGTTTGTGCATTCGTCTTTTTTTTGTTGTTGTTTTGTTTTTAAATACGATTAAATTACCACACTGCTGGCACACCTCATTTGCATGAAATTCTGCACCATACATACTAATTGTAGTAAAATTACCCCCCTCCCCAATCCCAGGAAAAAAGAAACTACTCTGGAAGATAATTTTCACTGAAATCTAACCAAACTTCGTTAAGTGGACTGTGACAAGATTATAAATGATATGAAAAATAACATTTTAACATTTGGCCATCAACTTAAGGAAATGGTTTGCCTATACAAATTTTTATAATTTTTGTAATTTTTAATATATTCTACCTTCATATGGTCCTCAGGATTAAAGCATAATGAACTGGAAAGAAAAGGAAAAGAACGCAACTGAGTGCTAAGGCAGAACATCTTGCCAGATAGTAATGAAGGTAGAGTATATGCTAAATACCAAGTGCAGAATTTCATAGGGCCAACGAGATAACAGTCTATATTTTTCACTTACACAGGCGAAGTGGATTTTGCAATTACCAGTTGCGTTAAATGCACCAAATAAAGCTCCTAAAATTGATACTATAAGGCGCCACCTTAAGTTTTCCAGGCTGCAACTGTGCATAATTTTAAAATGGTTTTCTTAAATTTATTTATTTTTTTAAACATAACACGAGGAAGGTGTTAAAACTGGTGTAATAGCTCAATAGAATAAGTATTCCAGATTTTGGGAGGGATGAAGAGGGAGATATTCAGAACCCTTCACCAGAATCCCCCCAACTTGATCATAGTGGATTAATGATGTGCTTTGTGGATGTGGTTAGTCAATGACACCAGCTTGACGGATCTTTCTTTCTGCACCAAATCCCTGTGAAAAAGTAAAATTGCAGTTAATTACTATAAAAGCATTACTTTTAATCATTGTAACCACCACCCTTTCCCAGAGGAGGAAATCCATAGTAAGCCCTCCTGATCTATTACCTAAAATCTGTTCGAAAGATCAAGAAATATGCTTATTGTGAGCAAACCGTTATTGTTAGGGGCTGAAAAAATGAGTAGGGAGTTTTAACTAGTTAAAAGCATACTGAGTAGTGAAAGAGAATCCTGAAGTTTTCCTGCTTCATTAAGCTCTGTGCTATGCCGAAATAAGACCCTGAGTAACATAAAGGTCAGCTGCCCCTACCCACCCGAAAACCTTGTACACCCTCATACCATTGAGTTATCTGGTCCCCTAGGCTGACGAAGAACCATTAGGCGAGGAGCACTGGCATCATCCAGGGTGATGTTCTTTAAGCGATTGACCAACCTATCAGGTCGTGGAGCTGCAACAGCCTTGGGGCCCTCACTGCAATGAAGTCAAGAGGTGAGAAGAAACAACTCTTGGTGGAAGAAAGCAAGCACTTGCAGAGGAGTATGTTTTCTATACTACCCCCAAATGACTCAGTTTTAATAAGGGACTCTTGCCTCACCTAGCCAGCTAGCTAGCAAGACAGGACAGACAAGTTTTTGTTTTTATTCTGAACTCAAGGTTTATTACTACAGAGGAACTGGAAGAATCATTTGGGTGAGGGTCATCCCTCATCCCATCTAATCTACAACTAGAAAAACCAGATCCACAAAATGAGGTAGTGGATGTGAAAAGCCTTAGAAAAGTTAAATATGAAGAAATATTTCAAGAGACTCCCAGCTCCTCTCACGGTAACGTTATGGATTTAAAACACTTAAAGAAATAGAGACTATAAAGTTAGAATTTTAAGCAGCATATAAATTGCTTAATGAAAGAAAAAGCTAAACAGAACCTTTAAGAACAAGGACTACATAATCTTACTGTATCTAAGTTCTAATACATAGGATGTACCCAATTAATGTTTCATTGGGCCAGATATGTAAGACTATAAAATTTAGACAATGAAGACTAGAGGTTAAAAAAAAAGACACAGGAAAGATTGAGAAATAACCAGAACGTGGCAGGATAAAAAAAAAGCTGTGATGAAAGGTGAGGAAGCGTGATAAACCAGAGTTTATGAAAGTTTAAAGGCAGTCCAGGGAACCTATCAGCCCAACAACAAACTCACCAGACTCGCCAAACATTACAAGCGCTGCACTTGCCAGTGCGCTGATTAAGAATCACTGAGAATTCCACCTCATCTCCAGCCTGTAGCTCAATGCCATCTTGAACTTCTTTCACATGGAAAAAGAGCTTCTTGCTATCTCCTACTTCATAGTTAATGAAGCCAAACTGGGGGAAGAGGGGGAAAAAAAAAAAGCTTAAAAAAAAAAAAAAAGAAAAAAGAAAAAAAGGAAAGACAATGATAGCTTTAAAAAAAAGGGGGAGACATATTACAAGGGGGAAAAGTACCTCACTCTGGATGAAGTACGCTGCCTGAACCTAACTAGAATGGGATTTATAAAACATGGTATATTAATGTTGACTTGCCTGTGCTAGAATATAAGATATGGGTCCAAAAAACTTGTCAAGGAAGAAATCTTTGAAATCACTGCCATTCAATCTATCATAGCCTGACTGAGACAAATGTTGGCTTGTGTCTTCATATAGTATATGGAGTTTTTGAATTAGGCAAAAAAAAAATCATCATACTGAGATCTTAGTATTAGGAACAGTTTTGTTTACCCTAAGTGTATTTTATGAACATTTTTACACAGCTTTCCTTCTTGTGTGGTCTGCAAAAGCAGCTCTGAGCTAAAGTATACAAAATCTTGTTCTATTCTGAAATATCTCACTCCAAATTTATTTTTCCTGTCATGTAATGTTAATAATACTCCTAACTTTCTTTTTGCTCGTATCACCATTTTCTTCATGTGGTTTTCTTCATACTTTTTAAAAGCTACCTCAAATCATTGAAAGAAGGGTGGAAGAGAAATAAAAACCAAGTGAATATTGGCCGTTTTCCCTTGGCTGAAAAAATTTCAAGGTTTTGGTTATTGTTTACCAACTAATAAAAGGATTAAGTTCAGATCCAGAGATACCACCACTTACCTGATCCTTCACACACTCCACTGTGGCCCTACGTAGGGGTGTTATGTTGTAGGCCATAGTCTGTGCATTTTGGCCCAAGACACACAACTGGAACTTGACACTCTCCCCTTTCTGCAGGCAATCCCCTTTGTTGGCCATCCCAACTATGCCAAATGGATAGACCTCACCTTTCATATCCCCTGTAAGGAGAAATAGGTACAAGTCTAAAAACTAGTATTTCACAACAGTCCTATGCTGATGTTCCTAATAAATTTAATAAGTAAATTGCTAAAAATGCATTATGTTCCTAATAAGATTTTCATACCTGAGAAATTTTACCATAAAGCTGAAATACTATCATGAAAAAAGTGAGAACTTGCAGTACTTCACCAGCTAATGAATAAAGTTTATTTTTTTTAGTAATCTCTACATCCAATGTGGGGCTTGAATTCACTACCCTGAGTTCAAGAGTTGCATGCTCTTTAAACTGAGCTAGCCAAGTACCCCTAATAAACAGTTTTAAACTACACTTACAAAATTAAAAATAACACTATCACTCACAATCTCGTTACCTAAATATCTGAGTGTTTTAAGCACAATGGGTTGCTAACATGATCCACTGGATTATCTTCTTCCCCAGTTCACAATATTAGCCAACCAGTCGAAAATACTTCTGACCCACACCTAACAGGGCATTAAACAAGTCAGGAATAGGCAAAAACAATGTGGATAAACTTCTTTGGCATTCTACATCTTTTCTTTGTTCTGACTGTGGCTCCCTCAAACCAATCGGTACTTTTCTCCCAGTTCAGAGCTCAGCACACTTTTTCTTAAAAAAAAAAGTAAACATTTTAGGGTCGTAGGTTGTCCTGCGCCTGTCACAACTATACAACTTTGCTGTTGCAGTGAGAAAAAAACCAAAGACAATATATAAACGAATGGCTATGGCTGTTTCAAGACAGCTTTCTTTACAGAAACAAGCCACCATAGTTTTGTAGAGCTCTTCCCTAGAGAAAAAAGTTGGCTGGGGTGCCCTGGGGGCTAAGTTGGTTAAACGTTTAACTCTTGATCTCAGCAACTTGAGTTCAAGCCCTGCAACGTGCTCCATGGTAGTTACGGAGCCTACTTAAAAATAAACGAACAAATAAATAATAAAAATTAAAAGAGTAAATAAACAACGTTGGCTGTAGGTCAGTGCAGGCTGGGAATAAAAACCATGCCAAAGGTTCAGCTGCTTATCAGTTCGCCAGGATGGTAAAGCCAGTGAATCAACAAAAATGAAGAGGAGAAAACCATCAGGTGGAAGAGGAAGCTTCAGAATTGGAAATGTTTTTAATAATTCTCTTGAAGATTATAGGGTAAGTGAAGGTCTTCTTCTCAAACATACAGGAACCCTGGGGCACCTGGGTGGCTCAGTGGGTTAAAGCCTCTGCCTT